AGGTATGTATGTATGTATGTATGTATGTATGTATGTATGTATGTATGTATGTATGTATGTATGTATGTATGTATGTATGTATGTATGTATGTATGTATGTATGTATGTATGTATGTATGTATGTATGTAGTGTCTATGTATATGTATATATGTATATGTATACATACATAGGGTCTATATATATGTATGTATGTATGTATGTATGTATGTATACATATGTCTATGTATATGTATATATGTATATGTATACATACATAGGGTCTATATATATGTATATGTCTATGTATGTATGTATATACATATACATACATACAAGATTTATTAACTAGTTTGCAGGTACATATATATATGTATATATATGTATATGTCTATATATATATATATATATATATATATGTTTTTTTTAAACCACAAAAATCAGTGGGGTAGGGTCTAGGAGTGCCCATACCAGATTTATTAACTAGTTTGCAGGTACACGTTTGGGGAGGATATGACCAATGCCCCAAAAGTAAGACAAATAGCAAAATTACAGACCCAAAGAAGAAAGGGAAAAACAAAAAGAGCTTCGCAAGTCATCAGTCTCCTTCTTCGTTGGCGTTTTGATTCCCCTGAGCATATTCAGACATAATTTGAGTCCCTGTGTTGTGAGTGTCTCATCTCTGATCATCCAAGCTTTTTTCCTGTACTTCCAGCACCAAGAATTGATCATTGGCTTGATGTCCATTGTGATTGAGAAGGGGTTTACCGTTTCATTTCCAAAGGCCGTGGCTGCATACTGTTTCCAAGTACACCAAGCAATCACTCCTGGGAGTATGTTTCTAAGATTGCCCTTAATTGTGTTAGCTTGAGATCTCAGCTGCCATTCCATCAGGTATTGATTTAAGCTAATCTCCTTCCTCAGTCTTGGTCCATCTAATATAGTTGCATAAAAGCTCCAAATGTTCTTGATTTCATCACATTGTAGTAGGCAGTGGTTCATATTAGCTTCATTCTTCTTGCAGAAGGGACATTGAGAAGGCATGTGAACTTGGAATCTGATTAAATTTTCTGGGAAAGGTAAGATCTCATTAGTTATTTTCCACAAAAAAAATCTCACCTTTGGAATTTGTAGGTTGCTCCAGTTTAACTTGTCCCTTAAGGATATAACCCCTGAATTCCTGCAGCATTCATAGGCCTCTTTTAAGGGAATAGAAGTGGGATCATCTTCCAAGTCAGGTGCAATGTCCCCTAAAAGCTCCTCAGCAATCCCATGTATTCTACAAATTCTTTTTCTAACGGGTGAGTCAATAACTTTTTCCTGACATTTTTTTTGTGCTGTATTTGTGCCTCATGAATCTTGCCCACAAACTGTCACTGAATCTGAAGTTCCACCATAACTTGATTGAGTATGCTTGTTGAAGATCCTTAAGATCTTTAATTCCAAGTCCTCCTTCTGTTGTAGGGGTGCATAAATCCTTCCAATTTTTCTAGTGATATCTTGGCTTGTTGTTATCAACTCCCCATAGGTAATTGCTCATCATGGAGTGTAGAGTGTTGATAACAGACTTAGGAAGAATGTGCACAGCAATCAGATTTAATTAAGCAGACTCTTCAGCCTTGCATCCACCCATCTTTTTATCCTCGCTGCCCTCCATGATTGTTTCCATATTCATCATCCATGTTACTTACGTGTAGCAAGTAAAGTAAATTAGGCACTTAGTTTGACATTGAGTGAGAAGTATCTAACACTCGACTATACATTTAAGTGAACTCACTAGTTACGATCATCATATGATATCATGCACATAATATCAAGCAATAGTAATATATCACACCAACGGTTATAAAGTACTGAATATTAAGATAACCAATTCCTACTTTGTCTCTTCATAACCTAATTTAGGCCAGAGTTATTTTATTAACAACATAGACATAGATACAATTCAGAATCACAACTTTCCCCTTTGGTAGAGAAGAGCATAAAGACTGGACAAAAAATATTGACTAGGACCGAATAGGATTTGTTAATTTATTTGGGGTTGGCCCAAACACATTAATAATGATTGACACCCAACCCCACAGCCCATTTACTCAAGCTCGTCCTATAATCCTTAACCTAATTAAGCTTGCCTTGATTATCACCCCAATCTCTACTATATATGGGGATGGGGTATGCTTGTGTTCAACCGTGCAAAAAGAAGAGAGGCCTTTGTGAGTTCTCCTCTATGTGAGTTATCTTCCTCTGTGAGTTCATCTTGTTCTTATCTGTTTCTTTGTGAGTGGAGTGTGGCGAGGTTGGGTTGGGGTGCTGCTCCTTTTGGTATCCTAGTAGTGGACAACTACGAACCGATTTTATGGGCCGGGTGACAGTGGTATCGGAGCCTGGCTATTATATTGCATTTTTTCCCGTCAATTCCTTAGAGGGATAAGGTTTCTATGGTGTTAGGAGCATTGAGTACATGAGTACCTTTTGTTAGAAAGTACTTCGGTACTTTACTTTGGTACCATTGAGTATTTCTTATTTGTTGTTTTTTTCTCCCGATCTATCCCTTAGTGGGGTAATCCTTGTGTGGTCCTCATTCAACACAAGTGGTGTCAACTTTGGTATTTGCTTTCTTTTTCTTTGTTTTTTGGTGAACTCAATCAATCAAAAAAACATAGAGGAGGGGGAGTCCAGTGGGTTTGTGTTCGAAGCACAAAAGAGAGAAGAAATTCAGTTGATTTTTTTGTCATTCTGTTCTCGCCCTTGCAATCATCGACAACACCATGCAACGGAAGAGAGCAGGTGACCGACAAGAGAGTTTCACGAGGCAGACTCTTTGATGATCTTCGGAGAGCGTAAAACCACAGCATCGGGCAGAGGTAAAGCTATTCCAGAGGCTGCTCAAGCTCATCTTTATTCTTCCTTCGTGGAGTAGGTAAGATGAATCTAGGCATTAGATTCGCCCAGGTACACAACTCTTTATCCCTTGCTCTCGTAGCAATTTTTTAGGGTTGTTTAATTCCGTTGCATTATTATTTATAGTTTGTGCTCGTGTGAAAGAGCAACGGGATTGAGTAAGCAATTTTGCTAACAAAATAATCTCAATTTGTTCATGCGATTGCTTCACACACGTGAGCCAAATTTGGATAATTTAGGCTAAATTCTACGTGCCTTTGTGTTGCTGATTTTTTCAGTTTTTTATTTTCTTTTGTGAGTTTTTCCTGCTTTGTGGTGATTTTTGGATTGTTTTTCTCTTGTGTGGATATTTCTACTATGAATCAGTATGCTTTGACTCCTTTCAATGGAAAAACTGATTTTAGCATTTGGAAACAAAAATTGAATTGTATTCTTGTTCGTCAAAAAGTTGTTGTTCGTTAAAAAGTTCATCAAACACACATTTATATGATCGAGAATAGCCGTTAAATTCTCACGGTGTAACGGTTAAGGATAACCGTATAAATCCTTGGGTAGAGTTTCAAGGATAGCCTTTGAAATCCTTGGGGGAACGGTAGAAGATAGCTGTTAAAGCTTTGTTGTAAACGGTTCGAGATAGCTGTCGTGAAATCTCAGAGTGAATCCTATTGGCAAGGGTTGTTTGCCAAACTAGTGCGATGCTTTGACGGAGTTCAAGAGACCAGGACTTAGTGGATTCGGAAATCCTTGAGGAGGAGCATCGAGAGACTGGAGTAGGGAGTTCCCGAACCAGCATAAAATCGATATGCATTTTATTTACGATTTTATTTTTGCGTTTTATATATTGCTTCCGCATTTGCCAACACTTTTTTATTAAACTTCGAAAAGATTTTGAAAGCCTTATTCACCCCCCCCCCTCTAAGACGTGGGCACAACGACTAAAACCGACTAACAGTTTCAACCAATTTTCCCAAATCACATGTGATTCTTTTTTTTTTTGCCTACGCGCCTTTCAGTTGTGGTAGCACATTAATGGGCAACCCTGCACTAAATTGTTGTTTTGATTTGGTCCACAAGGTATGAATGGCCCATATGTTAGTGTTGAATTGCCTTGCGACATTTTGAATAGTCCCTCTCTAAAGTTCACCTTGGTTAGCTTTATCCATTAGTAAATCTACAATGCATTACCTTTCATCATCAGGTAATCTATGCCGCTATTACCTCCTACTCTTGCTCTTCATTTTCATGTACATGTCGTCAATGTGCCTTGTATGTACACCCATTAAAGGCGTTGCATCCCGTGGAACTCCATCTCGCAAAACCCCAGTATCGCTAAATGAAGCTGCAGCGAGGAGGGAAAGTGTAGTAGATTCGTCTACATCAAATGAAACGACAAGAACTTCATTGAGATCGAAAGGGATGGTAGCAGGGACATTGAGGTCAAATGGATGAAAGGTGGCTGAAGAAGAAGAAGAGGAAGAATGTGAAGATATATTCTCCATTTTTGGCTTCAATAAATGAGTGCATTAAATACATTCATTTATAGCCTTATGACAGTACTTTGTGAAGAAATTAGGAGGGAAAACAAAAATTTACGGAGTATTTTGAGTTTCCCTCTCAAAAAGTGAAATTTTTTAATGTGTGGACTATATTAAATTCCGGAGTGCCCACTATGCATTACCGAGTATGTCATGTGGAGTGCATTTAAAAACTGATGTGACTATTATACTTTGAGCTAATAAAGTAACTTTTCCATTAGATTAAAAGGGACAAATGGGTATAGTTTTGGAATAAATTGGCTATTTTTGACCTTACCTTAAATTGTCTGAAGTCAAAGTGTTGTTTAGATTTAGGGACGGAGGAGTACTTTTCTTACCACGGGTGGGGGTATACATTCACCAATTCGCTAATTTACTACAATATTTTTTTATAATTAAATTAAATCAATAATGTAAATTAATTTTAAAATATTTTTAAAAAAATTTAACTCCAACCAAAAATATAAATAAATTTAAAATGTGTATTAAAATCCTATCTATTATAAATTAATAGTTTGGGTTTGAATCTTCTTAGAGTTTAATAAACTACCATATTGTACCATTATAGAAGCCGGAGTATTACCCATGTATGCCAAATGCCACATAAACTAAATTTGGTACCAAATTATGTTTACTTTAGTCATACCGTCCAACCTTATTATTACTCCCTCCATTCTAAAAAAAAGTTTCAACTTTGACCAAGTGAAAAAAATAAAGAAGTGTTAAAATGTAGTTGACTTTTAATTTTACGCTTGATGTAAGTTAACGCTCCAAAATCCAGCCTATCAGAATTTATTAATTAATAATAGTTTATTAATCTTTGAGATGGACTCTGATGGGTGTATTCCACCCATGACCGGTCATGAGAGAAGCCCAAATAGTTGACCGGTCTTTCTTCTGACCGCTCTTGAACCCGAAGGACCCAATCGTGGTTATCATCTTCTTTCCTTCAGGCTCCCGGTATAAAAGCCTGAAGGACTCCATAGTGGTCTCCGGGGTGGCCGTCATCACCCGGGCTGCTTCAGCCTTGTTTTCTCCCACCAATGTGGCTGCACGACCGGGAAAACTCTCCTCCTTTAGCGCCATCTCCTTCTTGGCCTCAGAAACTTCATCCATGAGCCGGCCGTTCTCCTTCTTCAGCTGGGATATCTCCACCTTCATTGTCCCGGCCATACCAGACAGACGGATCAGCTCGTCTGCCTGGCTCTTCAGAATAAGGGACATCTCCTCCTTCTCTTTCTTTAGCCGGGCAAGTTCTGAAGGAGAGCCCATCCCCAGATGTTCAACTGCATGGGGCCCAATTTCCCTGCCTGCACAAATAAAAGACCCGGTTAAAATTCTCATTGAGGAAGAAAGTCGATTTCCACCGGGATAGAAGCGAGGCTTACCTCTTTCAACCTCAGGCCCAAGTTGATGAAGGCCTCCTCAATGGTTTGGGAGACTGGGTTTGAATCCCCCCTCTGCCTCTTCTTGCTGAAAGAGGGATGGCTGGTGGCCACCTTCTTGATCCGGCGACCGGCCTTTTCTTTGCCCTTCCCCTTGGACCGGTCATCTTCGGGTTCTTCCTCATCGTGGATTTCCACGGTCTCTGGTTGGACCGTGAAAGTTGTGGCGGCACCGGCCTGAGAATCACCGGCCTCCCCTTCTGGCTTGTCTTCGGGCATGGCAAACTCCTCGAACTCCATGTCTACAAAAAATCAGCGAAAAAGCGCTAAGTATGGGAAAAGGTACCGGTTAAACAAAAGACACGAGATAGGCGAGAAATACCTGGGTGGGAGTTGCCCTCAGCCTCCGCAATGTTGCCCGGGGAGGGTACCCCGCGCCCCGCTGCGTCATGGGCCTGGGAGGTACCCTCACCACCCGGTTCGACCCTCCAGACCCAACTTCCGTAATTATACTTCCTCCCGGTGAACGGATCACCACGAAGAAGGATCTCCACACTAGCCTCCAAGTCAGGGGAGGAGGCCGGTGCAGCATACTCATGGTTGAGGAGGTGGTCGTTCCATTTTAGACCAGCCAAAGGGGTGACAAATGGAGGAAACTCGATAAAAACAAACTTTTCTTTCCATCCCCGGTTGCTTTGGGGGACGTCAGAAATAAATTTCCTACCGGTTCGACCTTTGAAGTACACAAAGCCTTCACACCCGGTTCCCCCCGGCGAGACTTCGAAACAAAAAAGGAAAAGACGCAAGGAAGGATCGATTTTGTTGGGGAGCAGATATTTACAAAAGAATGCAGATAGCGATGCGCGTTAGGAGTTATCTGGCCGGGCAGAATCCTAAACGCATGGCATACTTCGGTAAGGAGGGGGCAAAGGGGAAAGACGATGCCCCCGTCTAGAGAAACGACATGGAACCCTATCCTATTCTCTCGGTGGGGTTCAACGATGTTAGGCCAGTCATGTTCTTATATGAGAGTGTACCCATCCGGGAGTCTTCTACGGACTTTATTTAAAGCAATTTTGGATACACGGGAAGAAATATCAAGAATGTAATTGGTGGGGAGTGGAAAGTAACCGGCGGCTCGGAGCCGCTCTTCCCACTCTTCCCAGGATTCATTGTCGGGGTCATAGGGAGTCGGCTCATTGTCAACCGGTTCATCCCTCTCCGCGGAAACCTGACCGGGCATCGAATTGAGAGCCCGCGGCTCAGGGACAGAAGAATTGGGGATCTGACCGGGTTTTGAGCCAGGAGAAGAAGACCCGGTCGAGCGGTAAGTCAACAAATAACCGAGTTAGACTCGGGTCGTTCTCTCCAGGAGTGACGAAGGGAATAGTTAGTTTTATTATTTATTACAGGTAAATTTATAGTCTAAGAAACGTGAAATAATAAGAAATAAAGCGTCTAAAATAAATGATAAAATAACTTTAGGAGTTAAGATCGGAACGCGGACATAACACACAATCAATAATTTAGAAACAAGTACGAATCGAACAGGTATATGGGCTAAGATAATAATTTTGGATTAAATTAACTTCTTAATTAATTTGATTTTATATCATTAACTTATCCATTTTTCAGGCCTCATTAATGTGTCTAAATATGGTTGGCTAGATTATTTTTCTTAACTCTTAAACAAGCTAGATAAATAATCTCCAAAGATTAATTAATAAATTGGCCTGATCTATTAATTAGTGAATCTCATTTTAGACAAATGAATCAAATTAATCAAGTTACTAACTTAATTTTAATTACTAATCATTAGCCCATACCCTTAATTCAATTCATACCTTAGTATAAATTTAGCCACTAAAAGCCATAAGTACACAATTTAAACTAAGCAATAAAAGATAATTTTATTAATAAAGGAAGAGTGTACAAGAAAGCTTACAGGTCTTGAAGAACAGAATACAAATCACACAAATCTTCAAATCAACACTCTAAAATGTTTAAGAAGAACTCTCAAACTCAATAAGGGTGAAAAGTAGAATTTTTGGGTTAAGTGCTTCAAAGACTTGAAAATTAACTTGGAATGATGAAATTTAACCCACTCAAATTTAGTACAATATTTAGAAGTAAAAAGTGAAGATTTTTGCCCCAAAAAGGGGAAGAACCGATTGGAGAAGCTTGGGAAAAGGGGAGGTTGTCGCTGCCATTTATAGGGGGGAGAGGATCGACCGGCGGACAAACCAGCGGCCGCCGGCCAGCCCGCCGCCGCCGCTGAGGAACTCTCCAGATCTTGCCGGACTACTGGTCGCCGTCGACAGGCGGGCAGGTAGCTGCAGCCTGCCAGCCCGCCGGCGCTCCCTCTTGCCGCTGCTGATTCCGTTGTCCGCCGCCGCCAACCTGACTGGCGGCCAGGTAGGCTGCCGCCGGCCAGGCCGCCTACTGTGCCGCCCTGGTCCTTCGATGCAATCTTGCTTAAAATCTCGTTCTAAACACTTTTTCCTTCTGCACCGACTTCTAATTCCGCACCGATTGTGAGATAGAATTGTTTTTCTATTAAAATTTACTCTTTTTATTCCATTCTTGGCCCAATTTTACATATTACTTCAAAAGTATTCTGTTTATAATCAATTTATCAAAACATATGTTTTTGATAAAAAAGAATAAATAATTTATTGTTTTGATAATAAAAATGGTACAAGAACAAATTAAATATGAGTAAAAAGATAAGTACAAAACAGACTTATCAATCTCCTCACACTTAAACGTTGCTTGTCCTCAAGCAACTCATCATCTACCAACACAAGAATGAAGAAGATTGTTTGATTATATTCGAAGATCCTACTTCCTTGCAATAATCAGTTAATTTCATTAGCATTAATTACTTCATCTTTTTCTTTATATTCCAACAACTAAATATCTCATCACTCATTTCAAAAATTTAACAATGAACTTATTTAAAAGTTTGCGTGAGTAAGTTTTTCTTCCGAGATTCCCTAAGGTCAGTAATTAGTAACGATTCGTAGTCTCTTGGTCCACTTATCTCAATTAATTAACTTTTTTTTTTGTTTTTTTTGTGAGTTATCCCATAATGCCCTTTTTATTGCTTATGAATTAGTTTTTTTTCTTTTAATAATAGAAGGGTAGAGCTCCAAAGGAGATATGATACTCAATGCAGCACATAAGCGCAAACAATTGGAACAATTGTTTGGGTTGTGGGTTTATCCCATTACTTATGCATACTTGCTCCCTCGCCTTATGCGATTCACGGGAGAAGCAGAGCTCCTTTCGGAGATAGGATTCCCAATTCGTCACTGAAGCGCAACCCTCACAATTATCTTTGTTTATTTATTAAAAAGAAAGTGACCAAAAGACTTATAATCGTTATGTAATTAACAACCTTAAGTTACTCAACTAAAACTCAACTCATGCACAATTTTAAATAAAAGTTCATTGTTAAATTTAGAAATGAGTAAATGATTATTTAATTTATTAAAGAATAAAAGAAAAATGTAAAGTAATTGAATACTAAATTCATTAATTGATTATTGATCAAGAAAATCATTTTCTAGAATATAATCATACCTGATATTCTACCTCCTCACACTTAAGCTGGACCTCGCCCTCGAGGTCCAAATGCGGGATCCAAGTAGAAAAATCAAAGTATGTCAATCTTCCTCACACTTAGTGTGAAGCATATGATGAGAGGCAAGATTTTAATGATCATAAAAAGTTAAAAATTTGGCCAAGATTAGAAATAAAAAGCTATTTTTAATAGAAAATTATTTTATGCATTAAAACACTTTTTGAGTGCGAAAACTGGCAAGGCTCATTGTGATGGCTTCCATTCGTTTTCCCTGCAAAAGAAAAGAAAACAACAAAACAAAGGAAAAACAACAACAAGTGCACAGTGTGTGAAAGTGTGAACAAGAATTATTATTATTATTATTATTATTATTATTATTATTATTATTATCATCATCATTATTATTATTATTATTATTATTATTATTATTATTATTATTATTATTATTATTATTATTATTATTATTATGACGGGTTGCCTCCCGTTAAGCGCTAATTTAACGTCATTAGCTTGACGCCATTATTCCTAAACTTGGTAAAACAAACATATCTAACGAAGCACTCTCCTCGAGAGTCTCTAACTTTTTCCGAATAACCGCCGTAAGGTGGCGCAGACCAAAATATTTGTGAAGCCAAGGAATAGTGAAAATCCTATAAAAAGAACTGATCACCCCCAAGCATAAAAGATATTCTGATAAAGTTAAAGGCTTGGGGATGCTCGACTTCATGAAAAGTGGTTCAAAGAGACCCTCTTTTTGTGGAAAAGTCTTCGGTGACTCAAGGTCTCTTTGAATGAGTTTTTTGTAAGGGACTCTCTTCAAGATATACATTCTGGTCAAATTCAATAGAGCCCCCTAAATGATTAATGCCCTCGGACTTTGTAAAAATTCTACCTTAAGTTCACTTTTATGTTCTCCATTTCCCACGTTGAGAGACGAACAAACAGGTCCTTGATCGTCTCTTTTCTCTTCTACACCTAATGGAGAAACATTAAAGTTTTCCTCAGGCATTACTTCCTCCAACCCATTATTGTGATTTTCATTAATTACTCGAACAAGAATACCCTTATCAAGCAAGTTTTTCAATGTTTCTTGATATTCATCTTCAAAATTAGCCCAAATATTTTCTTGTTCGAGATAATATTTATTTTCATCAAATTCCTCATCTTGAGATGGTTGGCCTAAAGAAGGTGTTCCTTCTTGCGCTATGTTTGATTCAACAAATTTATCCATCTCAATTTCCTCATCCTCAAATTCATTAGCTAACCATTCATTTTGATGAATTTTATTAGGTTCATTAGGTTTGAATTCTAATAATTCATAGAGATTTCCAATTTCCTTAAGAATTTCTTCTTTTTCGTTATTGAAAATCTCAAGATTAGAATCAGAATATAGAGAAGAATAAGGAAAAGTATAACAAAGATCACCTTCTTCATTTACTAAACCCTTCTTCTTAAGAAATTCATCAAAATCAAGGTTAGTATATCTTTTTAATTCTATTTGCCCAATTAAATTTCTTATAATGCGATCCATGTCCGTTTTTATTGATTTTAATTCATTACTAATCGCATCAAAATTATTAATAGGGCAAAATGAGAAATAAGGAGAGGAATAATTCTCTTGATAATCAAAGTTATTGTAATTCTCCTCCTGCTCATAATTATTTTCATCGAAGAATCTAGAGGGATTATTACAATAATTTTGATTACCATAAAAATCACAATAATTATTTTGATAATTTGGTAAATGATCAAAATTATTAAAATTTCTCCCATGATCTTAATCATCAAAATAATTATTATTCATAAGAGAATTGTAATACCAATTGTTTTCAAAATCTTGATCATTACCAAAATTATCTTGTGAACAAGAAAAATTACCATTATCATAATTATTCCACCTATTACCATTAAATTGATAATCATTTTCAATCATAGGTGGATTTTCATAAAAACTATTTTCATAATGGTAATTTTCGTTATAATCATTAAAAAAATTATTTTCACAATATGGGTATGGCGTGTAATCATTAGAATGAGAATTATAAAAATTATTAGAACGACTCATAAAAATGTAAATAAGGAAAAAAACAAATAAATCGAGTAAACTAAAAATTTTCCTATGAAAATAGAAAAACTAACTAAACCGTGCCACTCCCCGGCAACGGCGCCATTGACGAAGCTAAATATAGCGGTAAGTCAACAAATAACCGAGTTAGACTCGGGTCGTTCTCTCCAGGAGTGACGAAGAGAATAGTTAGTTTTATTATTTATCACAGGTAAATTTATAGTCTAAGAAACGTGAAATAATAAGAAATAAAGCGTCTAAAATAAATGATAAAATAACTTGAGGAGTTAAGATCGGAACGCGGACATAACACACAATCAATAATTTAGAAACAAGTACGAATCGAACAGGTATATGGGCTAAGATAATAATTTTGGATTAAATTAACTTCTTAATTAATTTGATTTTATATCATTATCTTATCCATTTTTCAGGCCTCATTAATGTGTCTAAATATGGTTGGCTAGATTATTTTTCTTAACTCTTAGACAAGCTAGATAAATAATCTCCAAAGATTAATTAATAAATTGGCCAGATCTATTAATTAGTGAATCTCATTTTAGACAAATGAATCAAATTAATCAAGTTACTAACTTAATTTTAATTACTAATCATTAGCCCATACCCTTAATTCAATTCATACCTTAGTATAAATTTAGCCACTAAAAGCCATAAGTACACAATTTAAACTAAGCAATAAAAGATAATTTTATTAATAAAGGAAGAGTGTACAAGAAAGCTTACAGGTCTTGAAGAACAGAATACAAATCACACAAATCTTCAAATCAACACTCTAAAATGTTTAAGAAGAACTCTCAAACTCAATAAGGGTGAAAAGTGGAATTTTTGGGTTAAGTGCTTCAAAGACTTAAAAATTAACTTGGAATGATGAAATTTAACCCACTCAAATTTAGTACAATATTTAGAAGTAAAAAGTGAAGATTTTTGCCCCAAAAAGGGGAAGAACCGATTGGAGAAGCTTGGGAAAAGGGGAGGACGTCGCTGCCATTTATAGGGGGGAGAGGATCGACCGGCGGACAAACCAGCGGCCGCCGGCCAGCCCGCAGCCGCCGCTGAGGAACTCTCTAGATCTCGCCGGACTACTGGTCGCCGTCGACAGGCGGGCAGGTAGGCTGCAGCCTGCCAGCCCGCCGGCGCTCCCTCTTGCCGCTGCTGATTCCGTTGTCCGCCGCCGCCAACCTGACTGGCGGCCAGGTAGGCTGCTGCCGGCCAGGCCGCCTACTGTGCCGCCCTAGTCCGTCGATGCTATCCTGCTTAAAATCTCGTTCTGAACACTTTTTCCTTCTGCACCGACTTCTAATTCCGCACTGATTGTGAGATAGAATTGTTTTTCTATTAAAATTTACTTTTTTTATTTTATTCTTGGCCCAATTTTACATATTACTTCAAAAGTATTCTGTTTATAATCAATTTATCAAAACATATGTTTTTGATAAAAAAAGAATAAATAATTTATTGTTTTGATAATAGAAATGGTACAAGAACAAATTAAATATGAGTAAAAAGATAAGTACAAAACGGACTTATCAAGTTGGAATCCTCAGAGGAGCTTTCCTTTGAGGGTGAAACCCTAAGGCTATCTAAGGAAGACATAACCGGGAAGAATTTAAAAAAAGGGAAGGAAGACTTACTTGACTCGGAGGGCTAGAGAGCGAGAGGAAGGAACTTGATCGGTGAAAGCTCTGAAGACTTGAATTCCGAAAAGTGAACGAGTGAGAGGGGTGGAGGCCTTTACATAGGAGGAGGGAAGGTGGATCAGGCGACGTGGCTCCTTCAGGTTGCGCCGCGTCGGGCGGCGCAATGATGATGCTTTGGCAGGCGAAACGACAGGTCTGCAGCCGACTGTTGCAACGGTTGATGCACAACACGTGGCAAAATTCAAAATTTAAAATTCAAATTTTGAAATTTTCAGGAGGGAAAAGCCAAAAATTCAAATTTGAAGTCCTATTTCAGATTTTTTTTACTTCCCGCTCATGACAAATTGCATGACCGAGAAGTGGATGGCTTATTGATGGGTGTATTCCACCCATGACCGGTCATGAGAGAAGCCCAAATAGTTGACCGGTCAATCCGAAAGTACAAGAAAAAGAGACTTTAATCGTCAGCCGGAGGACACCCAATCGGTCAAAAGGTGACCGGTATACTTCGGAAAAGTATACCTGTCAAACTACTTCATCACCACATTCGTTCCTTAAATGCGATAAACTCGTCCCTAGGAAACTACCCGGTGTATTTTCTAGGGTCAGGAAGCGCCGGCGGAAGGGTATCTAAAATGGTTTGGATTGTAGCGACCCATATCGTTCGGGGATCAAGGGAGATGTTGGAGGAATTTGTCCAAGCCAGTACACGACAAGGGAAGTAATCTTCCTCGCTAGGTGACAAAGCAGCAAAAGGACGAATGCCATCACCTCCTACCATCCGAGAACGTGCCTCCACGTGGGCGCACGACTTCCTGTTCTCCCAAACCTAGTATAAATACTGCTGTAACTCTCAGAAGTGGGGATCCGAATTCATTCTCTCTAAACTCCCCTGTAAAAGCACCCGTGCATTCTCTCATATTAATATCAATTAGGCTACAGGTGTTTCCACCTACAGTCCTACCGGTCATTTGAGTGTTTTTACCTTTTTACTTTACCAAATCAAGTGAACCGTTCTAGACCCGGTCTAGTACATTTTACCCGGTCAAGTAATTTACACCATCAGACTCGGTGGAAATTATGAAATATTTTTGGTTTGATAATAAGGTTTATACCGTTGTGTAAGATTTGACAGAGCAAACCCAACGGTGCAATCAGATTTGGATTTTGAGCCCGTGGGCCCGGAAAGTACATTTAGGCCAGGTACGTTAAGTTAATACGGAGGCCAGAACCCTAAAAATATAAATAACACCCTACATGCCTAAACCCCTTGCCACGCCACCCATATTACGTAACATACTCCCTGGTCCCTCTCATCTCTTTCGACCAGAAACAGAGCTGAAGAACGAAACAGCACCGGGAGAAAGAGGAAGAAGAAAAGGTAAAAGTAAAAATTGTAAGAAAAGTTAAGATGCGATATGATGGGATTAACCCGATCAGATGGCAGACCAAGAACGTAATATCAATCAGGAAGATATAATCACTCGGTAATATTCTTTTCTTGAGTATTCAATTCCCCCTTACAATGACGGGTTCTCCCCCTTTTATAGCATTTCTAATATTGTAATTAAAATTATACAAAATGGAAAGGATTATGGAGATCATGGGGTTGTGGTTCCCCCTTTTCCAGTCTCGTTCTCTTCCCATTTCGTCCACAACTTGATGATGTGGGCCACGTGTCCCATTCTTCCCTTGGACTGGGCCACCCTTGACTTATCCCATGACTGGGCCGTCTTTCTCTACTTGCCATATGCGCAATGACGGGCTTGGCCCGTCATCTCCGTCTGACCTACCTTTTGGGCTATTATGGGCCTTTATTTGGGTCTGGAGTCGGGCCTACCGGATCCGATATCCATCACAAGCCCCCTAGTTTTCTGGCGACGTGTCGCTAGAAAACTAATGATGAGCCGCCTTCGGTTTTCGCGTCGGATCAGAAACGTCGCACTCGAGTGCCTCGGGTCCATCCTTTCAACGGATATAACCCCTTCTGGACCCGTCTTCTTCCTCTCGCTACTGAATCTTAACCCGACCCGAATTCCGACCGCAATTTCCCCAAATCTTTGCTTCTTTTCCCAAAATGGCTCCTACAGATCCCGAAACCTGGACCCATGGACCCTCCATCATCAAGGAGAATGAACTTCGAGAGGTGGCCGTGTAATACCCCGTATTAAGATGGGAATGGGAAGAGCTCAAAAGGATTGATAGTACTACTCATACCAACAAGGTGCATCTTCTTTTTGAGAGCTCATCACCTAGAAACTCCAAAGTTAAGCGTGCTTGACCTGGAGCAATTCTAGGATGGGTGACTCCCTGGGAACTTTCCTTGGGCGCGCACGAGTGAGGACAAAGTGCGCGGGAAAGACGTGTGTTGGTTTGTGGGGCCAGTCTACAATCCTATGAGCGGACACTTACGGCCAGGGTGGGGGTCGGGGTGTTACAGGCCGCGCTCCTGGGCAAGGGCTTCCGGGTCCACCATCCCGATGTTGTGGGGGGATTAGTCTATCCCACAATCCAAATCCCCAGAAGTACATGGTCAGGCAATATCATTCTGTGGAAAATGGGTTTAGGTTGCCCCTCCATGGTCTGCTTCGCGATCTCTGCCTCCATTTCGGATTTGCTCCGGGTCAATTGACTGCCAACGCGCACAAGTATGTCGCGTCTTTCATCTTGCGGTGCTGCGCCCTGGACAGAATCCCAACATTGGATGAATTCCTTCTCCTCTTCAGTATCGGTGGTTTCCCCTTCTACAGCCTATATCCCCACAACCATTTCCCAATTTTTGAAAAGGTTGAGTTCAAGCATGAAAAATGGTCACTGAGATACTTCGTTATTGAGTTCCCGGCTCACAGCCCCCTCGACCTACCGGGTGTTGTCCTCCGCCGTTCCATTTCCCGGACGAAATTTGCTGCAGCAGAATTAGCGGAGGGAGTGTAAAACGCCTTGAGAAAAAAAGAAGGTTTAATTTCACACCACTCCCTTCAAGACACCCAACTGTACAAGAAGGCGGGTTTTTACTACCCCCTGGGTCCTGTCCCGTTTCCATTTGAAGGCATGCCTTCTCCCGAGAAATCGAAGGCTCCTTCTGCTGCAGAGTCAAACCCGGCCACGAGCTCTCCCGGGAATCAACCCCAAGGTAACTCCATTGCCTTGGTTATCCGCAAGCCGACTGCCGCCTTGGAGGCCATTCCCATCTCAGCCATTCTTGGGCTTAGGAGGCCAATTCCGTCCCAGAAGCGGCCACGGGAAGGAGTCACTGATGATGACTTCCTTCCCAAGAAAAACAAGGGTGATGATACTTCTGTTTCACCCAGCCCCCTGCCTATCTCTTCTGATACCCAGTACGCCATCCTGCTGCCACATCCGGGGGTTTGGAGCTACCCCACCCGGATACCTGAGGCGTCTGGTTCCTCCCCCCATGCCGCAACTATTCCCCAGTGACAGAGGAGGAAGGGGTAAGTCGGCAAGAACCAGCGCCTTCCCCCACAGCAGAGAAGGAGGTTGAAGTGCAGACAGAAACGGAAATCCCCTCTTCAAAGGAGAATGAGGTCGGAGAGCAGAGGGATACGGAAGCTCCTCCAGAAGTGGAGAGAGAGTGAGAAACAATCGGAGCCGGAGGGACGGTGTCCTACAGCCACACTCCCAGCCCCCAATATCCCCATCCAGCGTAAGTTCACACCGCAATCTTACCCCGCTTTCACAGAGGGTTGGGCAGGCTTTTCCCGCGGTTTGAGATCCTTACAGGCTTCCCATTGGACTATCCAGGGGAATCTAGAGAAGATGAGGGAATCAGTGCATGGGCCCACAATTCCCCAAGCTCGCCCTGACTTGCTTGCCCTCAATGCACTGCACTTCATGGAGCAGGTACTTTTCCCTCTCAAGAATCTCTTTTATCTCCTTTTAGTTATCTCTTTCTTGACTTCCCTTCCTCCCCCCTTAGGCCCAACAATCACTCCTGACTTTGACTGAGGAGTACCTGGGTGGAGCATCAGGAAACTACCGGGCCGTGACGCTCCTAAAGGGGAAGGAGTTGGCTGCCAGGGCTCTACAACAGAAGGTTGACTCTCTGGAACAACAAGTTCAGGTCCTTCAGGAAGAGAATGCCCGGCTCAAGGCAGATGGCTCAACGGAGCTAGCAACCGAGAGATCCAAGGTCAAGTCCTTGCATGAGCAGATTGCCACTTACCAAAGGGGGACTCAGGATCTGGAAGCGCAGTTTGACAGACTCCAGGCACAAATTTCCATCTTGGAATCAAGGGCCTCGGCTTCAGAAGGCAAAGTGGGAAGTCTGGAAGCTGAATTGGTTGAAAAGGAGTCCCGGATCTCCGAGCTGGAGAATTCCCTTCGAGAGGCCAAGCATGAGGGTTCCCGTCTTAATTAACTCGCACTAAAACAAATGGAAGCGAGACGGCTCGCCCTCGAGAAGTTGAAGGAAGAGAGATAGACTGCAAGCAAGCTCCGGTCAAAGAAGGATGAACTGGAGAAGGCTATTGCTGCCCATCAAGAGGAGGTTGCAGGCCTGACTGTCCGTGCCGCAACCCTTTACGAAGAAGGGAAATTTGACATGCAGCACTGCATTTATAAGGCGGTCCGGAGTGGTCTTCCAGCTCACCGATCCCTGGATGATTTCATCTCCCACTACGGATTACCTCTCCCTCTTCCTCCCCCAGATTCTCGTGCTGACCCGGGGTCTTGACTTTATCTTTCTCTGTTGACTGTTGTATTTCGCTTTGTAACATTTAGATGGTTGTAACTTGATAACGCTTGATGTATTTCCGTCTTCACAAACTCCTTTTATTAAGCTAACTGTTCTCCTTTTGGGATTCTTGTTCCGCCCTAGGATTTAGCAGATTTTTTTTATCCGCCTAGGCTTTGGGCTTAACTGCATTCACAATGTACTGTTTTTCTTGTTTATCATTGCGCTAAGTGACTGGCCCACTTTAATTACGCCGGGCCCAGTTCACCCTAGCCCAATAATAAGATGATGCAACCCTAACTTTCCTCGGGAATCCGCAACCGCCTCCCAATCGGATAAGCGCTCTGACTCCGCGTCCTTTGCACTTCTCCTTTGGGATTACTCGCCTATTTAAGGGACTAGGCTGAACCCCTTCATCATCACAATCAAATTCTCAACATGGCTAATAATGCCAACAGAGTTGTCTTCATTGATCTTACTATTTCTGATGCTTCTTCTGATTCTTCTTCGTTGGCACTCCTTTCACTCGGGGCCCCAACGCCTGAGCTCTCTTCTGGCCTTCTCTTGCCTCTGAACAATCTGTGACTTCTCCCTTGCCCAGGGAAGAAAATCGCCCTCATCTCCCCCCACAGGTGTCAGGGGGTGCTCCTCCGAGTTCCAGCGTGCTTCTTAACGGTGCCAAGACGGAAGCCTCTTCTGGCCGTCCTGGCACGTCTCGTCCGCAGAAGAGACGCAATCCCCACTCAGGAGCTTCCCGGTTGGTCTCTGGTGCGAGGCCTTCCTCCCAGGGTTCCCCTTCCCCTCAGCAGTCATATGGACAGCCACCTGAGGAGTGGGGGGACTATGACATGGGGGGAAATAGGCTTCCATTTATACGCAGGGAAAAGGACGGAACCTTCCGGGACCCGCCTCCACCTTCCATATAAGCGGAAATAGGCCTTCAGTCCCTCCCTCGTGCCTCATCGTCCTCCTTGTTCGTCTTCATGGGAGTGTCTGCATGGTACCCACGGGGGAATGGCTTTCAATCCCAACCCGTTGGGGGACCCTTTCGCCCCTTTTGAATGTCATCAAGAGAGGACGGTGAGCTTTCTTCACATCCCCCCCCCCGCTCTGGGGTTCTTTTCTGGTTCAGGCAGGGAAGCAAGGGTCAGCGAATACACTCCTTCAAATTCCAGAAGTGTTGATCCGCCTTGCCTTCAGATTCTTCCAGTTAGTAAGATAGAAGTAGATCAGGGACAAAGTTCATTACTGTAACCCAAAAGAATGTAATCTTCTGTTTGAGTTATTTAATGAAAATCTTTATCTCCCGTCTTTTTTTTTGTTTCGTCGCTAGATCTGGGATAAGGCCCCTTACTGTAACCCAAAAGAATGTAATTTTCTGTTTGAGCTATTTAATGGAAAAACCTTTATCTCCTGTCATTTTGTTGCACGTGCCGTCATCTGCATGAAGTAGAAGCCTAAGTTTATTTAACTCCTTACCTTCCACGGATGACGTCTTTTCAAAAACGCAGATGGGCCCAATTAACTAGCCCATGCACTTAAGTGGCGAAACCCCTGGTCAAACATCGGGAATCTTCGACCGATTCATTCACCAATCGCTTCGTCCTTCACGCCTTTTAACCGCATTCACCATTTCCCAACTATCCCTTCCCCTTTCATTATAAATGGGAAAGGATGGTTAGCTGCTAGTTCATCCCTTTCTGACTTCTCCACCATGGCAAGTAAGTCTCGGAGAAAAGTTGTCATCGGCTTAACCCCTTCTGGGACATCTTCTTCTTCGGATGATGATTCCTCCGCCTCTCCGGCTCAGTCCAACGACATGGCTGGGTTGAGTCCCGGCGAGTTCTCAAGACTTCATCCAACAACTCGCCTCCCTGCACCATCTCCTCCTAGTCCACCCAGGCTTCCATCCGGAAGGGTAGACTGGGGCTCAATGACCCTCCAAGACTTCGCCTTGTATCAGAGGATGCGCAGGGCTAGACTTGGGCGTTCTCTGCCAATTGTTGAGGTAGAACCTTCATGTGAAAGCTGGACTGCTTCTCCAAACTTGCTGAAGTCTCCCAACGATGGTTCTTCATTGAGGGCTGCAGCTCCCCGTCCTGGGACATGGGAAGACTATGACATCTGGGAGGCGGCTGATTCCACAGCGTGTCCCTCGTCAAAGAGAAGGAGCCCATGGAAGGGACCCCCACCTCCTTCTTCTTGACTGCATGGACGCAACAGGCCCTCCTTCAGTGCCTAGGCCCCTGCAAATCAAATTTCTTTTCCTCGTTTTATATCAAGAGGCATTCACTTGTTTGGTCCAGGAGTTTTCCCTGCGTTCCAAACTAAGGAATGTTCCTTAATCTCAGATTAGGGATTATCTTTGTAATTCAAAGATACAACCCCCGAATTAACAATCGATGAACTCCCTTATTTTCTTTTCTTTTTTATCTTACTAGGAACCTTTCTTGTGAACCAAAAATGTAAACTTTGGCCCATCAATGTGGTCCTTAATAGCTGTTTCTTTGCACCTTTTCTAATGCAAGTATGTAAATCATTCTCTGTATAAAATCTCATCTCCCGGGGTTTGGCCCTGCCAGGGGAACTTACCTCATCTGCCCCTTGCCTCCTTTCCTCCGGGTTAAGGCATACTCTTATCTACCTTAGATCAGTTGAGCTCCAACCCTCGAAGTTTGTTTGCTCGGTTGATCTCTGCTGGTGGAATACTAAGCTTCAGCCCTCGAAGTCTGCTTGCTGTTCTTCCTGAATTCCAGATTGTAATGGCCCTCAAAGTCCAATCCCAACC